GGACTGTGAATGAGTATTCCGCAGTCGGTAGCGCCCGACTGCAACGTTCTTACTTGTTTTTGTGAAAACTTTTAGGGAAGTGATACAAAATGTATGAAAAATAATATATGTAAATCAAATACAAATGCGAAAACACAATATAAGGCAAAGATATAATAAAAATTAATACTTGATATAAACTAAAAACAATTATGCTAATTGTATTTATTAATTTACTCAATATATTTAATTTAATCTTGCTAAACCAAGTTTGTTTTTATTTATTTTTTTTCAGCTGCCTCGTTGACTTTATATAGCTCAATTTAAGACATATAATGTAAAAAAAAAAGTCTGCCTGAAGACTTTTGTGGCTCTGGCTTAAAAATTGTTATGGAGATTTAATTCTTTGTAAAAATAAATAAATAAATAAGTAAACATATTTCAATTTAAATACTTAGTAAACAAAAATTTTTATTTTTTATGTTTGCCTTTTTAAAAGTTTATTGAAACGATTTGTTTAGTTGTGCTAACTTTTATATTATTTATTTATATATTTGTTCATTTATTTATTTATTTTTACTTTTTTGCTGCCTTGTTGAATTTATATACATAAATTATTAATTTATTTAAATTTGAAGTAAACCATTTTTTTTATGCCTCTTTAAAAGTTGATTGAAAACGATTTTGAGAACAGCTCATAAAAATCATTGCTGTTAATTCGAAGAGGTATGACAAATTTATCTCATTTGATATCTAAAGTAAATGAATTTAATGAAAGCTGACATAAGGCGGATTTATTTATGACTTTGCAAATTTAAAGGTTCTTTGTTGATATAAAATTTAAGATGTAATAGAAGACAATTGATGAATATATGAGGTATATATATGAAGTATATATGGGGTATAGATTAATGTATACAAAAACTATTTGTTTTTAAACTTAAAGAGTTTATTATTATTATTTTTTATTTTTTATTTTTGCTATCATCATATTTTAATTTTTATTATTATTAAATTTTTTATTATTAGTGTTTTTTATTTATTGTAATTTGTAATACTAAATTATAGATTATGTTTCTACAAAACTACCTCTATTCATTTTTATTTAGACTTTAATTCGGCAAATAATATTTTTGATTTGATTTTTTCTAAATTTCCATCTGAAGCCTATTTCCGTTAGGTTCGACTGAATGCTTGAAGCCTTTTTCTTGTTATGTTCTTCTCCTTCTTCTTGTTGTGGACTTGTTCCTAAATCTGTATACCATCCACACAATCAATTTGTTTCCAATCTTCCTTAACGTGCCATCAAATGTTATTTTGTTAGCTGATTAAATGTTATGAAATGGAATTCGGTCCATGCCATTATGAAATGCCCCGTTAGCCAACAGTACTTAGGCTTTAAGTACATTGTACATAGCTATGAGTATGTGTGCGTGTGAGTGTGGGCGTGGCAGTGGGCGGCATGGCATTAGAACGGCAGCAGCAGCTGCTACCTGTCTATCTGTCCCTCTGTCTGTCTGTCTGTTGTGTCTTCTCTCTATTGTTTGGCACCTGCTGCTCCTGCTGCTCCTGCTCCTGCTGCTTGTTGTTGTTGCTCGTGTTGCTGGCCATTAAAATGGCCTTGCCATATGCCGAGCATATTAATTTTTGTTCCACATTCAAGTTGAAAGCGACTCGGCCAACCCAGCCACACCCACACCCACACGCCCACTCACATCCATTGAATGCCTTTCCCTCTCCCTCTTCACATCTCTCTCTCTCTGTCTCTCACATAACGTGACACGTGAGCATCGCTTACGTGGTTATGGCTATCGCTTTTACGTAATTTGCTCGTTTATAGCACGCATCATTGTTGTAGCCAGAGATGCCGTTGCTGCTGCTGCTCCTGCTGATGCTGCTGTTGCATGCTCAATTAACAGAAGCACGCTGAAAGGCCTCTGCAGACGAATGGCAGGTATTTTTGATGGTTTATCTTTATGTTAATTAAGCTCTCGGCTCCACAGTAATTGCACTTAACTGAAACCTTAGATGAAAGCCTCTATGGAGCAGCTGGAAAATTATTCTGTATTTCTGCCATAATTACTACAGCTTCTAAGGGTAATTAAAATGTTGTAGAGTATTTATATAATTACTTCAATTTCCATGGCTATTTCAAAGCTGTCAATGTTGTAGAATATTTAGCCAGACAATATCCAATTAAATTATGAAAATAAATGTAGAATTTATATATATGATAATATATATATATATATAGTGCATTCAACAATATATCAAATATCATTTGCTCCAAGCAGCTCGCCATTCAGGTATGATCTCAGCTCTAGGAAGAGCCAAGTTTTGAGTTAAGTTCCCGAGTTAAGCATGAATTGTGTGAAACGCATATTTGAGCAACAGACCGGAGCAATGGAAGCAGTTGCCAGTTTGGCAGTTGGCATGTCCAGTTAGCTGCTTTGGCTCTGGCCAAAAAAGTTTCTGGTTTCTAATTATTTACAAATGGCCAACGGCTGGAGTTGGAGCTGCAGCATTGTCCGCAAAAAATGACCAAATCCTTGCAGCTAACCGCACAATTTTGTTATTTTTGTGGTGTTGGCAAATTTATCTAAGCTTGCAGCAACTGGCAACAAACAGCAGCAGCAGGAGCAGTAGCAGCAGCAGCAGCAGCAGCAACAGTCCAAAAGCTGAAAAGAAAGAAATTTCTTGGTATGCTGTCAGTTCTCATTTGGTTGAAACTGTTGGGAGATAGCGCAAGCAGCAAGGGACCAAAGACACACATGCGCCAGCACACAGAGCGAGATAGAGAGAGAGAGAGAGAGAGAGAGAGATAGAGAGAGGGAGACAGCATAGCACATCCGTTAGCCAGTTTATTTTTGGGGCATTTTG